TGGCATTTATCCAAAAAGCCTCAAGAAGTTTTCGCGCTGGTGTTTTAGTCTCCTGTGCAAGGATATTGACTTTTACTTCAAAATCGTCTCCGCTTTGCTTGTGTATCCTATACGTGCCTAGTGGGGTGCTTCGTCTTAGTTTTCGTTTGCCATCGAGGTGTTCTTTCATACGGATACACAAAAGTCTGCCCGTTTCGCCAATAGATTCATCTCCGCAATTATTACAAGAAATCAGGTATATCGTACCTGCACTCATGCAATCACCGTCCCTGCCGTAAGAGCAAATTACGCAATTTGTTGTTTCACACAGACGGTCATACAGGCGGTTACGAACTAGTTGACGACGTAGAGTAGCCGATGGTATTTCAACTATCGCTACCGATTCCTCTAGACCTGCCCTTCTTAAGCATTGTTTTATAGCTACGCTTGCTTCATCGCTTATAAAAGGCAACATAAACGGGATTTCCTTTCGCCAAGTGTTTCGCGTGGACGCGTCGCTCTCCTTCTAAAGTTATCTCGGGTTACTATTTCATAGCCATTGAAGATGGTTTTTTGCTCAGCCAAGTCGCGCGATTCCTCCTTTGGTTCCCTGGTAGTGCACACAGAGGTGGCTGTTCGTAACATGTTTCTCACAATCGCCCTCTTTGTGTGTGAAGGGTGGGAAGAAAGGACATGAATGAGGATGTTCTTGTTACTTGGCTTTCGGTCCCATTATGTCAAGTAACCGCTACTCAGTTTTTCCCGGCTGAACTTTATGTACTCAGAGTGCTCGTTCAATAATTCAAAGCCCCTGTTCTCGTTCTCCGGCCACTACTCTACTGCAGATATGTAGATGATTGCTTTGTCGTCTTCTCTACGCAGGACGAGATGGACAAATGCTTTGAATTATTGAACGAACAGTCTGAGTACATAAAGTTCACCCGGGAAAAACCGAGAAAAACTGGGTTCCGTTTTTGAACGTTCAAATAAACCTATTAAGTAGCGGTTACTTGACAAAGTGGCAACCAAAGCCAAGTAACAAGAACATTCTTGTTCATTTCCTTTCTTCCCACCCTTCACACAAAGAGGGCAATTGTGAGAAACATGTTACGAACAGCCACCTCTGTGTGCACTACCAGAGAACTAAAGGAGGAATCGCGCGACTTGGCTGGGCAAAAACCATCTCCAATGGCTACGAAATAGTAACCCCACGAGATAACTTTAGGAGAGCGACGCGCCCACGCGAAACACTTGGCCAAAAGAAACGGCAGGGTATACATTGTGAAATGTAACTTCGGACCGCAGGTGTAGCACCATTGAAGTTATATTTCACAATGTATACCTTGCCGTTAAAAAGAGTAGGCAGTAAATAATAAGTTAAAATTGTAATTATAACTGCGGTCTCAACTTAACCGGGTTCGTTGCCGATTTGGGCCCCCAAATCAATCCCGGTGACGGGTAATTGCTGATGACAAAAGATCAGTAGAACTAGCTGAGAGACAGGCGAAACGAAGAACCTGCGTGGTGTGGTGGTGAACGCGCTACTCCCCGGAAAGGACAATAGCGCGTTCGTTCCCCTTCATAGACACCTGCGGTCCAGAGTTTTGCAAATATCTCAGCAACATTGAAGTTATATTTCACAATGCCGTTAAAAACAGTAGGCAGTAAATAATAAGTTAAAACTGTGGTCCTCTTATTGTTACTCATAGCAGCTCAGCCAGCAGTTTTAAGAAGACATACAACAACGATGGGGCGATAAAGCGTTAATGAGTTCTTTCAGAAAAGAATTCTACTGAATCTGGAAACGAGGCTTATAAATAAAAGTGAAATTGGCCGACAAGTATTGCAACATGTTTCCTTCTATTTTAAGTCACTGAATTTTATACCCTCTCAGTAATTTATGACCTCATTGTGGCTAAGCAAGGTCTCCCAGCTGAGAAGGAATCCGGCCCTTCCATCAGGAAACCCAGCTAAGAGTAAATCAATAGCATGATCCACTACCATCCTGGTATCAAACTAGTCGCATGGTGCCAAATCCTCTTCTAATCCACAAGGGCGGCGATTGCCTGTGACGGTGACGACCTGGTGCAGACTTCGGCCAGGTTAACCTTGAGACTCGAGGGGAACACATTGGCTAAGCTATACACCGAAAAGTGGAGGATATGCTGGGGCACGCACAACCAGTGTGGACCTGCCGTCCAAGTATTCAAGTAATTAATGTTATACAACACTTATCCATAAACCGCTTCTATGTGTCTCTGAGTGAACTGATACCGATACCGTCGAACAGATAGGACTAGGCTTCTTGGAGGGCGTATTCATTAATTTTGTAAAAATGTCAATTTATCTAAAGGCTTGTTTATTTCAAAGAAACGTATGTTGGGACGAATATGAGTTTAGGTAGGACGACTTTGGTTTTTTACACCGTCTTCAATTATACAGCTGACTCTTTGATTAGTACTTGAATTGACGCCATTCTAGAAGAATCTTCACCGAAATGTTTTAAACCATTTTACCATACACGATAGTCGGCTGCTGGTTGTAGAGACTTGGGAACGCCATCTAACGGTTATTTCGAAATTCCTTGAAAAACCACCGTAACCAAATGAACATTCAAAATGTAAATGAGGAGTGGAGGAGAAAAATCCTAAAATATTCGTCTGCTGATGATGATTGCAAGAGAAGGAAATGGATGAAGGAAATGATAGAGCGTGCACAGAAACTGAGGATAGCTCCTATCTATTAAAGCTGTTATTCACTCCAAATTTTTCATTCTCGCCTCATACGCTAGCTACTCACAAATAGCCTAATAAATTTTGAAAAATTGGTCTATTAGATTGTAGATCGGCAATGAGATAGAAAAGAAGATGAAGCGCTCGCCGCTAATCCTTTTCTCACGGATACGTATTCTACTTCAATTAGCATGGTGAAAGTGCTTGAATGCATGTTTGGTGTATGACTGACTTTCCACGGCATCCTGATGATCGAAATCAGTGTTTTTATCATTCAGGTACGAATTTTCCGACGCTGGAATGATAAAGGATTTGGTTTTCCGGTGCAGGCGATAGAATGGCACCTATTTGCAAGGCAACGGTTACAACTCCGCTGAAAGATGATGAAGGAGAACAAATGACTGAAGCACACAGGATAGGATGAAGAAAATACTGTCTCGGTCTCAGTGAAAAACCATTTCACGCAAGTGTTTCATCTAATTAGATAGTCTTTCTTAATGATATTCGCTTCTTCAATACAGAATCACATTTTGTCGTACGATTTAATGCAATGAAAACTGATGGCTTTTTTTGAACAAAAGAAACATCGAACGAGACTTTACGAAGATGATCATTCTATCATTTATCCAGTTAATGAGATATCAAGTCTTTTCTTAACCTTGCTTTCCAGATGTAGAATGCGAGATTGTTCTCTTTCTACTTAAGACCAATCCTTTTGTAAGCCCATATCATCTGGATCTGCTGGTTTTTTGAAATGGTCATGGACAATGATGACCAGTCACAAATTATACATCTCTTTTTACGGAGTTTAGGAAACTTATGGTGTGCCAGATAGCTGTCGGCGGTTTCTTGGCCAAATGCACCGTTGACATGAGGAGTTACTTTTTCACCTTCGAATCCACACCTAACATATAAAAGAGCGCACGCATCAACTTCAATGCACAGAACCCCGATTGCTTATTTTGCAACGAAGATTTCATTTGCTATACTTTCTGTATTCAATCGATGGCATTGTCAAATACAGATGTTGTGCCAGACATTATCCTTAGAAAGTTATTTTCTTTTCTTAATACTTTGCAAAAAATTTTGCACAAATTTTCAATGCATATTGTAAAAGATTTACGCGGAGTTCTAGGCAGCAGCCATAAAAGCGTATTCGTCTGTGGATTATTGTTATCCAAAAGTACTCTTGATGATTTTTATTCATGACTTTTACTATATTCATACCTCGGTAGCTTAAAATTAACAAGAACAGATCGCATCAGATTCAAAAGCAAAACTTGCAGAAAAATACAGGCTTCAACATGTCATTTAAGGAGGGATAAGGACAAGCGTTTAGCATTAATCAACTTCCTAGGTGCGCCATGCTTTCGACCCTAGTCGTAGTGTCTCAGAAGCAAACAAATGCATATTTGGCCTATACAATGAGTTTAAGTGGCCTACCGATGAATCAAAGCTGTGAGGCAAATATCATGCCAATTTGTCGACCCTGGTAGGATGAAAGACTTGGTCGATTTGACGTGAGGGAACAAACCAATTACCACGTGTGTATTGCAGGAAACCTCTAATCACTGCGCGTCACATTACATAGTACGAAGGCAAAATTATGGATTTCTGTTTACAAACAACTCGTAAAGGCTTAAAATGGCAAAAAGGTGTTATTTTAGAGGCGAATTAGTTAGAAACACACTTGAAGTAATATACATAACATAAGACGTCCTTACTAATTGAAAATGGGAACCTCTTTTTTTGATATCTTCGAGAATTCCTTAGAAACAGCAATACTTTCATATCGTAAAAGAAACTTTGTCAACTTTTTCTCTATGTCCGTAAGGTGTGATGTTTACTTACCTCAGTAGTGTTTCTTAGTAGTTCCATGAACTGTCATTACATCTACTGTGAGGGTCTCAGCACTTCTTGCATTCGATTCGTTTTCCTCGCATTCAACGTCCACAATGGTCCTCGAACACTTCGCGTGTTGTTTTTTCGGCTGCTGCTTGAGAATTTCGTCTTCTTTCATGAATATCGTAGAGTGCTGGTCGAGTCGGCTCTGCTTGCAATCTTGGAGATAACCGGGCCAAAGCGTTCTCACGTGGAATGGAGGAGAACGTTGGGGAGGGAGTCGAACACGCGCCTTTGCTCCTTGATCGAGGGCATCACAAAACACTGCTGAGCTATCTGGAGAACAGTGTACTTAGTAGGTGGGTGAGGTCAAATTTATGATCGAGAACTACTGGATTGTTGGATCAAAAATACTCCAATATTTATTTTGGGAAGTTTTAGAATGGTATGGAAGGAGTGAAGGACATAAAAGAACTAAAACAGTTGACCTTGTTTCCAGAAACAGAAAAAAGCGAAGCAAGTAATGAAAGGAAAGAAAGAAGGAAGAAAATGAAGAAGATAGTGGTGATTGGTTATGACGGTGATAATAAAGGAGAAGAAGGAGCACCAGAAGTAGCAGTAGAAGAAAGAGGAATGTGGGCTGAGCTCTGACACTTTCTATCCATGTCTTAAGCTTATTCTGTCATCCATTCCTGTGAAGGATAGAGTGGATAGGTTGCATACCTTTGTGACAAAACAACAAATCATGTATTTGTCCATAGAACATTTGAGATCCCGAGGAATCCAGTTGCTAATGGTTCTTGTCCATTTCCAGCTGTCGTTCAGACGCATTATATGTCCTGCCCGCCTAATTTTCGAAGGTTTTAGTGTGCTAAACGGGGTCTCTGACTTTCGATCCTTCGCTAGTTCGGATTTCCTCTTTCGCAAGGTACTCATGATGCAAGGTACTCTCAGTATCGTACCTTCGACTGCGCGTTCAATAATGCTGTGATCCTCCTTCGTCCTGCTTGCAACGAACGCGCGGCATTTGATGGGACTCGGCCAGTGGAATAAGAGAAAATTTTCGTCAGCTGCGAGTTTCCGGTTTCTTGATATTAGAAAATACTTATTCGACAGATAGAGCACTTGAGGGATTGTTATCATAACAGAATTGTAGGATAGACTTGGCTTTGTCGGGTACGAATGATGTGTACACTAGTATTTACTGTATTACTATGTTCCATTATGTGAATACACTGCTGTCCACACTCGGAAGTTTTACTACAGAGTACTTACTCTCTTTAGCTCTTCAAATATTTAGTCTTACTCTACTCCTCTTTACTCCTTATGAAGTAAAAAATTGGCTGAGGGAGAGGCAAACCGAAGTCCTCGACTGATGTGGTGGATTGCACGTGAGCAGCCAGGAAGAGTAATCACGGGTTCCAAGCGTACATGAGGTTGGTTACAAGTTTTGTTCACATCTCAGCATCCTTGTTGTTGTACTTCACATAATACCTTACCGTGAAAAAAAATTGAATAGGAAGTGAATAAAATTTAGGACATTATACAATGAGTAAAAAAAATCCCAGTAATCTGGAACTTCAACGCATAACACCCTTGAACCATTCCGGACAAATTTCAAGAATCGAAAAATGAACTGCAGGAAGGAATGTCTCGTTATGACGCGCAATCTCACACAATACCTCAGCCCAATATTCTGCCGTGAGACGAGCTCACTACCCATCAGTTTGAGCTCCTCACGACTCCTCTTGGACGAGTCAGCGGAGCAACCATAGAAAACAGTGAGCGTGTGGAAAACTGTTCTATATCTAATGCGAACGAAAATTAGGTGTCGTGGCTTGAGGTTATGAAGATGTTCGGTTATGCTGAGGTTACGCTGAGGTTATGGAGGTATTTGGCTGGGTAGATTTCAGACAACTTGCCCTTTGGAGGGTCTGAAAAAGGAGGAATCCGCCGGGACGTCAGCTCTGTGTTTATCAAGAAAACAGCGAATTATACAATGATCTCTAAATGTCTGGTGATCTCCTTTTGGGCCTTTACATAACAGGTGTTCTAGAATATCCTCAACTAGTGCATAAATAATGGTAATATATCATCGGAATCAGACAATGACGGTGATAGGTTCACCGCCATAACAACCGACCTCACTTCGAACCCAGCACTGATGGATGAGTTCCCGCGTTTTATCGATATGCTAGCACGAAACTGCTATAACTATACTTATTTCGTGATAGATGACGTTTCAGCAAATCTATCCTTCTTTATCAAATCACTTAGAAACATTACAAAGTGGCAAGCCACTGAGCCACCAACCGACGAGAGGCGGCTGTGGGCTGAACGGCCAGACACCAGTTAGCGATAGTTAGGCGAGAGTGCAGACATTAACAGGATTGGCGGCAAAGATTCAGATCGCACGTGGTCGGGGCAGAGACGTAGACTGCATCGAGTTTTTGCTGTCGGAGGTGATGGCGACGGCGCCGAAGACGACCGCGTTCGGCGAGGCGCCAACGAAAAACGATCAGCATGACTTTCAGTTGGTCTCGAATCCAGGACAACTCGTCCGCCAACTTTTTTCTTACGCTGCTGCGCTTCTCTGCCTTATTTCTCAGTTCCTTATCTATCTTTCTCTCTATCTCTCTTCTCCCCTCTCTATCCATATCTCTTCTTGTTAGTCATTTTTTATCATTAACGCTTTTCTGTGTAGTTACCCGATTTCACTCAACGCCTTGAAGTTCTCTATACTTGACATTCGTTCTTATTTACCTCATGGGATCCATTACTTCAAAATTTTCCTCATTTCTTCTTTCAACTTCAGTTCCCTCCGAAAGTCCGTTGTTTTTCTTCTGCACAAATAATTCTTTCGGCTTCTAGCGTACCTTTCCATCTCCTTCCCAAGTCATTTTTTGTTATTTCATCTCTAAACGTATCTCTTTATCTCCTCCACATGTCATTTTCTCCTATTCACTTGCTTCGTTTAAACCAATTGGTCTTTAAACTAAGCTTTTTTTTTGAACATTTTGTGATGCGGTGAAACAATCAACTGAACTCAAAACCTGTAGTGCGTGAACATTTCCGTAGGTGTACTGTATAACTTTTTACATTTACTGAGGAAAACTCGTCCTTTTCGTAGATGTTTACCGTTGGCTCTACCAAACGGAGCGTGGCCTTCACTACTGTGCTAGCTCTTTTTTTATTTCATACGAGCCATCTTCACATCTACTGTGCAGATCTCAGCACTTCTCACATTTGATTCGCTTCCTCTCATCCAGTATCCACTAAGGTCTTCCAACTTCTACGTGTGCCTTCAACTTCGGCGGCTGATTGAGGATTTTGATTTCATCTTGAATGTCGTAGAGTGCTGGCTGAGTCAATTCTCAATGGAGCACAGAGATAACCGGACTCAAGTGTTACCATTTTGATTGCAGAGAGTGATCTTTTCCCAGTCAAGTCCGGTACCCATTCCCCGATCCCGGAGGGTTGTGAGGCTTGGTGAGCCCGGGACGGGATCTAACTAGCACCATGCTCGTGATGATAGGGATCACTACCACTGTGCTGTCCACTTCCTTGTTCGCCTTTTACTTCAAGTAGTTAGGCTCTGTTATATTCTTTGGACCGTAAACCATATTATATCTGCTGCAATTATGTTGATGTAAAAGCAGTTGTTGTTTCTACACGGCAACTTTGAAATCCCATAACTTTGTTCGAATGCAGCTTTATTAGTCAAAATAGCAGCTCCTATAATCTACCCGTCTTTTTCAACAAAGAATATTTCCAACTATTTCGCTAACATGAAATTCGGAATTTCAGGCACGGGTAAGTTATGCAAAGGCAGTTTTCCAGCCCTTGAGTTGTCAAAGATTTCATCAGAAAAGGAGTTGTTGAAATGTTGGAAAAAGTAGTAGTTGGTTAGTGGGAGTTCCAGTAAGTTTCGTGGAAGAGCGAGAATTTCATAGCTCGACTCATTCAACCTTTGCAGTATCATTTGTACAGATGCGGTCCGAACGTTCTCGTTTAGAATGTTCAGACCTTTGTTAATGGCCACCTGTACATATATAAACTGCAATTTTTCCGGGATTTCATTGATTTTATGAAAGCTGTGATCGTTTTTTTTCCAAGTTTTAGGACGTCTTATTATGTAATTCTATCCGCCGGGGACGCGAAACTCACCATAACCATGCTTTGGTGCAAATTCGGATTCAGGAAACCTTTATGGGTCTCATTGCATTCCAGCCTCACTGCTGGAGACCGTTGTCTGTTCTCTTCGAGGGACTGTTTTTCACCTTATGTCACCATGCGTCCGATAAAAACGTGTTCGATAAAAAACAAAATTTCTGACGACGGGCCTCCTGACGACAATCACACAGCCATTTACTGAATTCATCTTTCGCCTGCTTTTCGAGTTCCCAAACCTTACGATGTCTTCTAAGTACCGAACGTTTGTTAAATAATTGACTTTGAGAGTTCTGAGATCCCCAAATAGCTTTTAGATGGTCATCTTCGATTAGCACCTTCACACGTACATTGTCACTTGGTGATCTGCACCATAGACTTTCTACGTCACGAAGGCTTCTACCTTCCCTTGCATATCATTGTACCCATTGATTTTTCAAATGATGTTTTTTTAATTCATATACTCGATGAAAATATCTTGTTACCGTTAGCGGTCCGAGTTTTAAGTATCGCCCCATCATGCCTTACTGGGTCTCTCAGATTCCGTGTGGGCTTATCTTACTCGTCGTAGCTATGTGCTCATTTCTATACCAATGATTAATCACTAGGCTACATGACTTCCAAAGAGCAATCGTATATTATTTAAATTTTACCCTGTGGTCGCATACTACAGCAAAACAGAAACGAAAGAGAAAAGAACCTGGGTGCAGTGAGTTTTTGGAGCTAATCGCTTTCGCTATGGATATTTTATTGGCTGACGCCAAGGTTGATGCAGTCATACATTAGAAACATATCGTGAGGACGTCGGAGTTGAGAAAAACGTTGTGATATGACATCGCTGGCTTTCGATGCGGGGCTTGCTAATGAAACGTCACTCTCTCTTCCTCATGAGACACCGACTATGTAATCGTTTTTCTACCAACATCATGGGAAACAAGGGGGATATTTTAATAAAAATACAAATTTTCTGCTTTTTTTGAATCTTATCGTATAGTTGAATGCCAGGAAAGTTAGTACGTATGAAACTGATTGTTGTCGCTTAGCTTTTATCTTACGCAAAGTACGAATTGCTACGCATAGCTCCTAAAATTAGTTCTCATGATTGTTTTAATCCACACTTTGTGACCCGACTTTATATATTCTGCAGATCCTATCGTTTCTTTCATTTGGTTCGATGTCTTGTATCCCTCATCCACGAAGATCCTCGGAATTTGCGTATCGCTTCGGCTGCAACTTGAGGTCTTTATTTTCGGAATCTCGTTGGATGCCGATCAACTTGACTTTTAGAATCCTGTGATATTTCTGGTGAAACGTTCCCAAGTACTCGTTCACCAATGGATGTTGTCGGCTTTTGTGGGATTGGTGGGAGCTTTCCCTGGACAAGTCTGGTGCCAGTTTACCGCTCTGGTGGGATAGCAAGCTTGCTCGGTTCCGTCCCATGCTCGAATCATCTACCATGCACTTCTAAGCACTGCTCTCCA